GGGAAGGGGGCTCTTGGACAGATGGTACAATCTGAAACGGGAAACATGCTCCTTAAAAAAAAAAAAAATTTATACACACACACACACACACACACATATATACAAAAATAAAGAATAAAAAGGTAAAATGTGCTGTCAAAATATGCATATAAACTAAAACAAAAAGCATCTGAATTTCAATGTGACTTTCATAATTACCATGGTTTCAGGCACTGAGGTCATACTTGTATTGCCAACTGTAAATGAGAAGCGATGCAATTAGTTAAGTCTTAAAAAAGGTCCACTGCAGGGTAAGGCGTTTTGATCCACATAATAAAAGTCTGAATTCTGCTATAATTACCATCCCTGCCCGCTACATACTCCTTAACCCGGAAGCACAGCTCTGGTTGACAGTTTTCAAGCAAACTCTCAAGATCCTTAAAGTTGTTGTCACCCAACAGCTCCTGTTTCTCCATCTCTATCAACACGTCAAGGAAGCTCTGCAGGGATGTAGGAAAGAGAGAAGTAATGCTAATCTGATCTGCCTTACAAGTCATATTTACAGCACATGGCCTGTAAAGACAGGAAATAGGTCAAATCAAAACTCACCTTACAAGATTTGACCTGGGGAATCTTCAACAGGAACTTTATAGCCTCAAGATTGTCTTCAGACACATCTTCCGACACCTCATACAGTAGCTTTCTAAAAAGATAATTCCTATTCACTTTCTTTTTCTCCAGAGATTTCATTTCTCATTTTGATACACAGATTATCAAAACATTACCTGTAGGAGGAGATCAGACAGCCAGAGTCCCCTTGCATCCGAAGAGTATCCTGAGTTATCTTTTGAGATGTTCCGAGGACTTTGAGCAGGTCATATCGTTTGATAGTGTACAGCAGCTCCCCCACAATGGAGACATCTTCCAAGAGCCCTTGTTCTTCTAACCTCAAGAAGAGGTCCCGACCATCGTGGACGCCTTCCATTTTTTTCCTTTGAATGTGGTCTTTGCACAGGAATTTGAGTGCATCAATCTCGTTGGAGTCGAGTTCTTCGCTGATATTGTGCAGCAAGATATTGATATCCATGTTCTTCCAGTAGCTTGAATTACAGGTCTAGTTAAAATAAAAGAGAAACACTGCCGGTTATCGTACAGAAGAAAAATATACCCATACATATTCAGTCGCATTCCTAATCGAGTGTTTTTATTGTTGGATGAGCAATACTTAAAACATATACCATTAAAGCACAACATTTTGGTAATACCGTACAAAAACTTCGGTATGAGACTTACATTGTATTGGACAAGGGACTCGAAAGCCGAGGTGGTTTTAGATTAGGTTGTAATAAAGACTTCCGGGTATGAAGTTTGTCAAAATAAACCATAAAGCAAGCTGTTAACCATAAAACGACTGCTTCCTGTTTTTACCAAAACCTTGAAGTTATCTTCTCCCTGTTGGTGTAATGTTTTCCTTAGGGATATCGTCGGCTACAATTATCTATCGCATGAAACGCATAAATAGAATAAAGTCATGCTGTTTTCCCCGGTTTCATTTTCGAGATCTATGACGATTGGAAAATTTCCTCAAGAGAGCGATTCCTATTGGCTGTTTGAAACACCTCTCATAACATCTCGACGTCGTCGTTGTTACGCAGCGCATGGTAGTAACGCGCATCCTACCTTCTCCAAATAACCGATAATTAAAACAACAAAGATACTACCAAAAATCTTCTCATTGCGAATAAAGGAACCTTTTATGCAGATGTGGAAAGAAAATTAGTTAATTTATTCATTATTGTAACGGATTATTTTTTTGAGAATTATGCTCCAAGTATTATCAATGTCAATAATCACATTTCGTTACTTTCTAGTCAGAGTCAGTTACAGAGCAGAAATATATGGGAAAAAAGGTGAAAGGGTAACATGACAAAGTACTCCCACCAGTCGCGATAACTTACATTCAGCTGGCAAGCGGGAGCGTGGAGGATTAATCCACTAAACCTAGAGTAAGACTTTGCGCTCCCCGGCACGTCTGAGGAGCAGCGCTCTGTCGAGAACTGCCCGCACGCCGCGGGAGCGCGCACAGCTGACGTGGAAGCTAAGGGCAGTCCTGTTTTTCTGTCCTGTTCCTCAGTTACGATAATTATCCAGAGCCTGTAGTTTTATGAGCGTAAAGAGGAAACAGCAAATGTCGGGTGTCAAAGTTGGTAAAATAAATCGCCGTTTGATTACTGCATCGTTTTGATGTGTCATTTCTGATTATAGCTGTCAAGTAATGCATCCTCTGTGTTTCTGACAAAAATATGAACAGATAATTTAATCTGAATGTGTCTAAAAAAAAACACGTTAATGGGGGAGAGCTAATGATAGGTAAGCCAAAAAATCGCCAAATTTGTGCTGGTGACACCATTTTATCCTAAAGTTTATGAAAAACTAGAGTAATAATAAGAATAGGCTACAGGGGAATGGATAAGATCAAAAGACGCACCTGGTCGCATTTAAGGTTTTATTTCTCAAATCAAAAAGGGACAACGGCAACGTAATGCAGTGCGAAATCTGCATACCGAAGACTGTCTAGTCGGCGCCATGTAAGAATATTGAGGTACGATGACTGCAGCCTTATTATAATTAATTAATAGCTACCTCGTAACGCCTCCAAAATTTAAGTCATGGCAATGATAAACTTTGATTAAAGCTTGTTATTGCTAGCTTTGCTGTCTAATCCAATAAATGGGAGTGATTAATTGACGGTTGCTTAAATTAATAACAAGGATGGGCACTGAGCCAGTCATTGTAACGATACATTAAAAAATTAAGCGGGCATGATTATCACATTCGGTCAAGTGCAATATGGTTAAACTTGTATACATATTTATTACAATATAGATTTGGAAAATATAAACTGTTACCTTGTCCGAATAACAGTGGGTGACACGGACGAAGTTGATTGTTTATCACATGACGAGGACTTTCAAGAGTTGAATTGGGTACCTTTCATGCATGAGCTGCTGCACTCATTTCCACGTAGCAGAAAAGTCAGAAGTTCAGCACAGGCTTTACCTGCTTCTGCAGCATGTGAGCATCTCTTCAGTTACATGCTGGCCATTTATTTACTAAAAAGAGAACTAGATGCTAGTGCTGCCCACTTTGGAAACCATTTCCTTCTTAACCTGAATAGTAAGTTCAGGGAATAATACTTTCAGAACCTGTTCGTTAACATTCTGTACCATTCTCCCTTACTGAATGTACATTTTGTTTGTTGATTTGCTTATTCTAAGGAACCCAGGGGGTGTTGGTGGCGTTCGTGTTGGGGTGTCTGGGGGGTGTTTTTCATAAATTCAGTTTTATTTTAATGAAAATTTGTATATTCTTATTGTAATTGTATACTTTTTCAACTAATAAATTTTTTTGCAAAAAATTCAAGCATATAGCGTGTGTGAATTTAGTCACTCGTTGACATCTTAATTTTAATGCATTTTATTTAGGAAAAAAAAGATATTTAAATCCTTGTCCTTTTGTGCATTTTATGTAAACAATCTTTCACATACACATTATAATATATATATATATATATATATATATATATATATATATATATATATAATCTCCATTCATCCATCCATCATATGCCCCGCATGTGGGGGAAGGTCGTGGGGGTAGCAGTCTAAGCAGGGATGCCCAGACCTTCCTCTCCCCAGCCACCTCCTCCAGCTCCTCCGGGGGATACCAAGGTGTTCCCAGGCCAGCCCAGAGATATAATCTCTCCAGCGTGTCCTGGGTCTGCCCCGGGGCCTCCTCCTAGTGGACGTGCCTGAAGAACCTCCCCAGATACTTAAACTTTTCCACTTGAGGAAGTAACTCCTCCCCCACCAGGAGAGGAAATTCTGCCCTTTTCCGTTCAAGAACCATGGAGTTGGTGCTGATCCTCATCCTGGCCGTGTCATATTCAGCCGCAAACCACCCCAGTATATGCTGCAGGTCCCCCTCCTGAGTCACCCGATGCTTTGCCAGAACCTTTTCTAGGCCAACCAAAAGTCTCCTCCCACACTGGAGTTTTTGCTTCAGCAGCTGCCAAAGCCGCTTTCCTCTTGGCCTGCTGCCAGCCGTACCTCGCAGCTGCTTCGGTGGCCGGTACTACGGAGCGGTGTTACTGGCTTATCAGGGTAACTTGTCGGATTTAAGGTAGTCTGGAGAAAATGTAAGTGAGCGAATATGAAGTCCATTTAAACTGTGGTACCTTAAATCCAACAAGTTACCCCGATAAGCCTGTAACCCCGCTTCGTAGTACAGGCCACTGGAGTCCTAGTCCAGTTTTTACTTACGTTGATATTTTTACAAATAACTAGAAGCATAATGGTTACTTGAGCAAAAATATTGTAGTACTCTCTCTATGCCTGCTGTTATAATTCTTCACTGTTGCTCCCCAGCCAAATGCCAGATAGCCAGATTCAAGAAGGAAACTGTACTTCCGAGTATAACGGTGAAGTGAAGACATAAGTGGAAGATATTCAACCTGCTCTTCATTTTTTGGAAAAAAAAAAGATTTGCAGTTCAAAAACCAAATATCACTGTGTTTGTAAAGTTTATTTCTAGTCATATTAGACACTATAAAATTTAGTTGCAAAAGCTGTATCTGTTTGGAATAAGTTTAAGTCGTTTAAACTGACTTTGGTGCATGGCTTTCTGCAAAGCGATGTCACCAGACACACTTCAATGCACAGCCATGTTAATGTGCCTCTGGATGTCACTAAAAGCACAATGTAGTCCTCCAACATTTAAAAATTTTAGAGAAGGGAAAGTGATTAATTGTCATTGTTGACACACATTGTGCAACAATGAAATGTGTCCTCCGCATTTCACCCCTATGTCTCATAGCAGGGGGCAGCTAATTCAGTGCCCAGGGAGCAGTGCTTGGGGGTGGTACTGTGCTCAACGTACCTCAGTGGTACTTTGTTGGTCAGGGATTCAAACCAGAAATTTTTCAATTACAAGTGTGCTTCCCTAAGCATCAGGCCACCACTGCCACACAGGAATCCTTGAGGACTGTTACTAACTAGCTTTCTTAGTATAAAATTAAAAAAATACATTTTGAGTTTTGGGCTGACAAAAACCCTTGTCACACCGTCATGCCTGTTTTGTCTCCCAAACCACTTGAGTCCCTAACCCCGCCCCCTGTGTCCCTAACCCCACCTCTGAGTCCACAACTCTACCCCCTTCTGTATCTCCTTATCAGTACCTGCTGTACAATCCAGTTTCATTACTCATTCTTCCCAAGACTGCTGAAGCTCTCCGACACTTTATAACCCTCTCTACTGTTTTCAGAATGAGCACCAAGGTGTGGACTGAGGAGCAGTTCAACTGCCCCGTGTGTCTGGACCTGCCTAACGACCCTGTCACCATTCCCTGTGGCCACAGCTACTGTATGGAATGCATCAAGGACTACTGGGTTAAAGATGACCACATCGGGATCTACAGCTGCCCTCAGTGCCGACAGACCTTCTGTCCTAAGCCTCCTCTGTCCAGGAATACCATGCTAGCGGAGGCTGTGGAGCAGCTGAAGCGTGGTGGCCTGAGGTCTCGGGCCTCCATCAGCAAGCCGGCAAACACTTCTTCTTCAGGGGGCGCCCCAGCTCCTGCAGGTTCCGCCCCCACTGCGAGGGTGCTCTGTGATGTGTGCCAGGGTGACTCCCAGCCCGCGACCAAGACGTGCCTGGTGTGCCTGGCATCCTACTGTAAGGCTCACCTGAAGCCCCACCAGCAGGCAGCGGCGCTGAAGCACCACGAGCTCATCGCTCCCACCGGCCAGCTGAGGCAGAAAATCTGCGGGAAGCACAAATACCTGCAGGAATTCTACTGCCGTTCATGTCGGCTTTTCATCTGCTGGCTGTGCATCAGCCACGACCACAAGGAGCATGACACAGTCTCCACCAAGGCTGCACGAGATGAGAAGCAGGTAATGTTCACTGGTTTTTACTGTGACTCCCCAGGATCAGGTGTTATATTACTTTCTGTCCTGCTGCAGAAGGTCCCCAAGGTGGGGCTGATTCCTGTATGGTGGCTCTGAGACTATGTGGCCTGGGAACATTCTTGCCTACATTCTTGTATATTTAGCTCAGCATGCATTGCCTCCCCCCCTCTATATGTCGCGAGCACTTTCTCCCCTGATTGCTGCTGCATGTGCATTCTGTCAGTTGCCGTGGCATGTTTTGCCATGTTTATAGTGCGAAGGCATCATTGTTAAGTGCATTGCAATGAGATGCCCTGGCATGTTCCCGTGCAGAGAGCTGGTGTTTGTGTGCCTTTTGCTGTAGCCCGAGCTCCTGACGTCACAGCTGGAGAACCAGAAGAAACTCGAGCAGAGGGAGAGTGAGCTGAAGGAGATGAAGAAAGTGTTGGAGTGTCTCAAGGTGGGCCATCAATCTCATAGGTCTGCCTGGGACCCCATCCCCAACACCTGGATAAGGGAGTGAGCTGCTTAACAGAGAATGCAAAAGGAATGATAGACAGCCAGATAATTTCACTTGACTTGTTTCACTAGTGTTTTGGTGAGGGCGACCCCTCCTCTGAGTACTGCAAAAGTCTTAGGCCACCAAATTATGCTTACAGCTATTTTCCTGGACAGTATATATGTATTTATTTTGTATATGTGGAAAAATGTTAACATTTCTTAGCATTTCTTAATGCTAATGGTTGAATCCAGCAGACATATGGGAAACTGGATGATAACTGCTAATACTGGGGTGATTTGTGGAGAGGTTATGAAATAGCAAAGCTGACAAAATGCATAAAACCATAGTTAAACTACAACATAAACAAAATTAAAACATAACGTAGTCTTACAAGTTCTCGAAAAGCCCTGAACCCCAGTCACTGAAATGCTTACTGGACATGGAGAGATGGAGGAATGTACAAGGGCCTTGCGGCCTGTTCTGCAGGGCTCAGCAGGACGGGTCCAGCAGGACGCTCCGGTCATCCTGTCCCAGCTTCAGCGCTCCGTGGAGAGGCTACAGGCTCTGGTTGGGGAGGTGATGGAGTCTAGCGGGCGGGACAAGCTAAATGAAGCCCAGGAGGTGGTGGACAAGCTGGAGGCTGAGATCAGCGAGATGAAGAGGAGGGACTCCGAAATGAGAGATCTGCTAATTTGTGAGGATAACATCCACTTCTTGCAGGTAGCGTCTTTTTTTGATAGTTAATAGTTTTATGGTGGCTTCAGCGACATACACTCAGTGGCTGCTGTACACCCAAAAAGTGCAGGGTGCTGACAGGAAGCTGTGAAGCTCGCACTTTTGCACATTCTCGCGGCTCTCCCCCACCCACCTGGCAAGCGCAGGGTGCTGAGAGGAAGCTGTGAAGCTCGC